TGTTGCAAAGAGCATGCTCTTCAGGGGGGATGCACTAATGATAAATGCAACACATTTTGTCAAGATGAATGTAGAGGTGGTGAATGCAAACATCGCAATGGGAAATTGGGTTGTCATTGTTATTGCTAATTTAGCATATTGGACTATTTGCACTCAAAAATATATTCTCACCCTTCATTTTCTAAGTATGTTAAGGAAGTGGGTGTGTAGGGTGTTTTTTCAGTGCATGTAATCCTACCCTTTTATCAAAATAGTATCAATAAAGATAGAAATATAAATTTCGATATTAGTGTGAAAGAAATTTCATACTAAATAAATTACAAGATATGTGATCAATTTATGTGTTTATTGTGATTTACATTTTTACAAAATATATTTATCATTAGTGTTATCTATCCGATTGATTCGGCAGCTAAAATTTAATGTGATAAATAAATCAATAATGCAAACTTTAATATATTAGCTTAAATTTTTAATAATATAAATTAATTGGGATTTAAAAAAAAAAAGAAAGAAAAGAAATTCACCTAGTATCTAAAACTGATTTATTTATAAAAATAAAATAAAAACCATCATGAATTCACATTTCAACTCAATATATTTAACATAACTTGGATTTTCATTCTAGGATAAAATTTAATTAATTAAAAAAGTAAGAATAATTTATATAGCTTAATAATTTATTTTTAATACAAATTACAGATAAGATTCTAGTTATATAAACAAATTTCTACTTCTGGCTTTATAATTAATTACTAATATATTTTTTTTATAGAAGTTTATCAATTTCACCCTTTAAAAATGTAGGAATCGCTCTTAACCCTTTCATTTATCTATGTTTTATAATTATTATTTTTTTCTTTAACTTTTTAAAGTGTTAATATAGTATTTAACGAACTTATAAGAATTCATATTGTTTTAATAATAGCTATTAAAAAATATTCTAAATTTCCGCTTTTTTTAGAAAAACGGATTTGAAAGTTATGTTGGATTTTAATATTCATGTTAGGCTTTAAAAACATTAAGAAAGTTTGTAGAAAATATATATATATATATATATATATATATTAATACTCAACCCACTCTTTGACCCAGTCAAAAGACCGGTCCTGGTTAAATCGGTCCGATCGTCGGGTTGGATTGGTGACATCTGCCACACATTACACGATCCATTCCTCCTCTCTCTCCCTCTTTTTCTCTTTCTCACTCTACCACTTTTTCTCTCTAGATTATACACCAGTGAAGTTCCATTTCAATATAATTTCAGTTTCAAGCAAATCAAATTAAGGTTTATTATTGTTTGTGTTATTCTTCTTCAACAAGATCTAGAGCTCATAAACTATGGCAAGAAACAATCTTGGCCATTTATTTACATCAATCTCACCCAAACTCCCCTCACCATTCCCTATATATGAATCATCAATCTGTTCAAAGGTTTCAAACTCGGTGAGCTGACTCATCAGCCTGTCAACTCAACAGCCTCAAAACACCAGGAGAAAACCCCCAATAAAGAAACAAGAGAGCCTCAAAGCAAACTCTGAAAGTGAACACTTTTGGTAAGTTTGATTGTTTAAAGTTTGTAGCATTGACCCTTTTGGTGTTTTTTCTCATTTGCTTCAATACCCATTAGTTTTTGCAACTCGTTTATGCTTCTAAATCATTGATTGAAGAATGAAGATTGAAGATGAATTAGTTGCTAGATTGACAATATTATTATTAAGATGAACTGATGAAGATGAAGTGAAGAACTGAAGATGAAATGAAACGCGATTCGCGAAGAGGGAAGATTGAAGAGCCGATTGAAAGTTGTAGTGACCATTGAAGAGCCGATCGAAAGTTGCAATGAAGATTGAAGAGCCGATCGAAAGTTGCAGTGAAGATTGAAGAGCTAAGGATGCCGAAGAGTTGAAGATCGACTAAATCTGTGAGGAATGAAAGTGAAATGGGTTTGGGAATTATTGTAATGCATTGACCCGGTTTTGTGCCAAAACCAGGTGGACCGGTGCTTAGCTAGAGTAACTCCGGTCTAATCGCGGATCAGACTGGATTTAATGCTTTCTTTCTAGCTAGTATACTCGTAAAATAATCAATAAAACTCATTAAAAATATATATATGAAAATACACATATAAACGAGTAATAAAGTATGTGCTCATATTTAATTTTTCTTTATATACAAATATTTACAAAATATATTCATAATAGCAACTTGACAGTGTAGTCCAACCCTTTCACTGCGTGACGTTTCGAGTGACCGCAACTCACCTATTACCTGCAAAAACATTGAAAACAACAAAGTGAGCACTAATTGTTCAATAAGTAAACCTGTTATGCTACCCTTCTCTCTCCGTTGCTTAAATCCTGAATTTTTTTCCTTACAACTCATTTCCCGAGTATTCTCTATTCTTTCTCTGTTCTTCTCTATGTTCTTCTCTCTGTTCTTTCTCTCTATTCTTTCTAATTCTTTCTCTATTTTACTCACTGTTTTTCTCTCAATTTTCTAATTTTTCACTACTCACGATAATGAGCATGGTATTATGCATTTTCATGATGCAAATGCACAANTAATATCTCATATTAATATGCATATGTTCCCATTTTGCCCTTGTACTTTTTTTAAAATTTCATCTATGTCCCTTAGTCAATTACTATAATGCCCTCATTTTTAATATATTCTCCATGAAATTCTACCTCTTTTCACTCTTCACTTTTTCAACTAATTTTGAGTGAAAAGACAATTTTACCCTTAATGCAAGTTTAAGGCATTTGCTTCACATTTTCTCAAAATAACTTTAGCAAAAAAATCAACTAATTTTGAGTGAAAAGACAATTTTACCCTTTAAGAACCTTCTTTGATCAAACTCTCTTCTTCTTAAATCCTATGACCACAAACCATCAAAAATCAACACTTTAAAAATTAATCTCACATCTATTGCAAGAATTTTTACCTTTGGGTGCTTATGATCAAATCTCTACCAAAATCTAACCAAAAGCCCTCTAAAATCCCTTGGAAATTTGATGAAGAGATGAGAGAAATTGACAATGAAGTGGCGTGAGAGGGAGTAGAGAATGATAAGGTCTTTTTGCTTGAACTCCTAATATCTCATATTAATATGCATATGTTCCCATTTTGCCCTTGTACTTTTTTTAAAATTTCATCTATGTCCCTTAGTCAATTACTATAATGCCCTCATTTTTAATATATTCTCCATGAAATTCTACCTCTTTTCACTCTTCACTTTTTCAACTAATTTTGAGTGAAAAGACAATTTTACCCTTAATGCAAGTTTAAGGCATTTGCTTCACATTTTCTCAAAATAACTTTAGCAAAAAAATCAACTAATTTTGAGTGAAAAGACAATTTTACCCTTTAAGAACCTTCTTTGATCAAACTCTCTTCTTCTTAAATCCTATGACCACAAACCATCAAAAATCAACACTTTAAAAATTAATCTCACATCTATTGCAAGAATTTTTACCTTTGGGTGCTTATGATCAAATCTCTACCAAAATCTAACCAAAAGCCCTCTAAAATCCCTTGGAAATTTGATGAAGAGATGAGAGAAATTGACAATGAAGTGGCGTGAGAGGGAGTAGAGAATGATAAGGTCTTTTTGCTTGAACTCCTAATATCTCATATTAATATGCATATGTTCCCATTTTGCCCTTGTACTTTTTTTAAAATTTCATCTATGTCCCTTAGTCAATTACTATAATGCCCTCATTTTTAATATATTCTCCATGAAATTCTACCTCTTTTCACTCTTCACTTTTTCAACTAATTTTGAGTGAAAATACAATTTTACCCTTAATGCAAGTTTAAGGCATTTGCTTCACATTTTCTCAAAATAACTTTAGCAAAAAAATCAACTAAAGGTATAAAAGCGTAAATTAAATTTCGTACCTCCATGTGGGTGTTACACCGGGTCACATGCATATACCAGGTTTTATCCTTACTTGGCCCGGCTCAGTGGTCGGTTCCCGATCAAACCAGTTAAACCGGCCGGGCCAAGCTGGGTTTTAAAACATTGAATGAATATATATATGATAAAGGGATCTTAATAATAGCTATTAAAAAATATTTTAAATTTCCACTTTTTTTAGAAAATTGGATTTGAAAGTTATGTTGGATTTTAATATTCATGTTAGGCTTTAAAAACATTATGAAAGTTTATAGAAATATAGAAATATTTTCACATATAAGCAACTTTACTAATCTTAATTCCCAATATGTAAAGGGTTTATTTAAAAGATAGACTTAGGCATAGAATCACATGATTTAACTTATTTGCCCTTGATGAAAAATTAGAAGAACAAAAATAGTCAGAATACGATGATAGTCAAGTCTAGCACCATCTAGCATGATCTAGTATACTTTAATTAGGTTATCAAACAACATCTAGAATATCGAGTTTAGTATAGTCTAACACTCTATATTGGTAATATAATATTTATTATTTTATTAAGAGTATAATTAGTAAATTATTGGATTTTGTGATTGAATTTGTATTTTAACTGATTTATTTATTTTATGTCCCGTAACTTTACATATAGGACTTTATGCATATAAAATCTTTGGACGCCTAATATTAGGCATTTAAATTGGATTGATTACTTGAATTGATTTAACATACTATACTTTCTGTTATTATATTTAACATGAATTTAAAGAAGAGAAGTAACATATGATTAAACATTGCTAATTCTTTATTTTTTTGTAATGAAATTGGTTTAACAATAGATAAATTTATTTAATGCAAAAAGAGGACCATGCCTCTAAGTTTCTATATATTTTAATCCACTTATTTTGAAAAAAAATAAATAAATAAATTATATGTAAAAAATGCTTGTTATTTAATAGCATAATACTGTAATATTATCAAATCAATATTCTAATTACACTATTATAAATATTATTATCAACGCGGTAACGTTACCGGTACTGTCCCATAATATCGAACGGCCCTTTTAGCTTCTTCTTCTTCCACTAAAAACCCGCCTTAAACCCTAAACCAAAACCCTTTGATTCATTCAAAAGAATGAACAAACGAAGCCTAAAGACTCTTCTTTATCACTCAATTTCATCTCTCATTTACCCTTCAAAATCACCCATTTTCATTTCCCATTCACTCAATCTTTCCCGCCAAAATCTGTTCTCTATCTTCACCCGATTCATCTCCGCCTCTTCTCCCTACAATCTCCCCGGATTGGTAGACCCAGACGACCCCGTTTTGGCCGAGGCTTCGCAGGTCGAGTCCGTTTCTGCGGAGGAATTTGGGTTTCTGCGGGACTCTTTGATGAGTTCAGATGCTAATTCGGTAGCACAGTTCGATGCTGGTAAGTGCTCTAACGACGCCGTTTTGATTGCTAATACGATATTGGGTGATAAAGATGGGTTTAGTGATAAAACCCAGCAGTTTCTTAGGCAATTTAGAGTGAAATTAAGTGAATCATTAGTGGTTGATGTGTTGTATTTGATTAAAAACCCTGAATTGGGTGTTAAGTTTTTTATTTGGGCGAGTAGGCAAATTGGGTATTCGCATACTATGCCTGTGTATAATGCATTGTTGGAGCTAATTGAATGTGATCATAATGAGAGAGTGCCGGAAGAATTTTTGCGGGAAATAAGAAATGATGATAGGGAAGTGCTTGGGAAGTTGCTTAATGTGTTGATTCGTAAATGTTGTCGAAATGGGTTGTGGAATGTCGCTTTAGAGGAGTTAGGGAGGTTGAAAGATTTTGGGTATAAGTGTACACGAGTGACTTATAATGCATTAATTCAAGTGTTTTTAAGAGCAGGGAGATTAGAGACGGCTAATTTGGTTCATAGAGAGATGTTGGATGCAGGGTTTAGTATGGATGTTTTTACTTTAGGTTGTTACGCGCATTCCCTTTGCAGAGCAAGGAGGTGGAGGGAAGCTTTAACATTGATTGAGAAGGAAGAGTTTGTGCCGGATACAGTACTTTATACGAAGATGATATCTGGGTTGTGCGAAGCTTCACTTTTTGAAGAAGCTATGGATTTTTTGAACAGAATGCGAGCTAGTTCTTGCATTCCTAATGTTGTGACATTTAGGATTTTGCTTTGTGGGTGTTTGAGGAAAAAACAACTTGGCAGATGTAAAAGGATTCTCAGTATGATGATTTCAGAAGGTTGTTATCCGAGTCCTAGGATATTTAATTCCCTTGTTCATGCTTATTGTAGGTCAGGAGATTACTCTTATGCCTATAAGTTACTTAAGAAGATGGTCGAATGTGGATGCCAGCCAGGTTATGTGGTTTATAATATATTGATTGGCGGCATTTGTGCCAATGAGGAGTTGCCTGGTCCCAATGTGTTGGATTTGGCTGAGAAAGCTTACAGTGAAATGCTTGATGCAGGGGTTGTCCTAAATAAAATCAATGTAAGTAATTTTTCTCGGTGTCTTTGTGGTGCTGGAAAATTTGAGAAAGCTTATAGTGTTATTCATGAAATGATGAGTAAGGGATTTATACCTGATACTAGTACATATTCCAAAGTAATCAGTTATCTATGTGATGCCTCTGAAATAGAAAAGGCTTTTTCATTGTTTGAAGAAATGAAAAGAAATAGTTTAGTTCCTGATGTCTATACATATACGATATTAATTGATAATTTTTGTAAAGCTGGCCTTATTGAACAGGCTCGAAACTGGTTTGATGAAATGGTAAAAGAAGGTTGTGCTCCAAATGTGGTAACTTATACTGCTCTTATACATGCTTACCTTAAAGCAAGAAAGTTGTCCTGTGCAAATGAACTTTTTGAGACTATGCTATCTGAGGGTTGCATTCCTAATATTGTCACCTTTACAGCTCTGATTGATGGCCATTGTAAAGCTGGGCAGATTGATAAGGCTTGCCAGATTTATGCTAGATTAAGGGGTGATGTGGAAATTCCGGATGTAGATATGTATTTCAAAGTTGTTGACAGCGACATCAAAGAACCAAATGTTTTTACACATGGAGCTTTGATAGATGGTCTGTGCAAAGCTCACAAAGTGAAAGAGGCGCATAACTTATTGGATGCTATGTCTGCGGAAGGTTGTGAGCCAAACCATATTGTGTATGATGCTCTAATTGATGGATTTTGCAAGGTTGGGAAGCTTGAGGAAGCACAAGTGGTGTTTTCCAAGATGTTAGAGCATGGATACAGTCCAAATGTATATACCTACAGCACTTTGATTGACAGAATGTTTAAGGATAAGCGATTGGATCTTGCCTTAAAAGTCTTGTCCAAAATGCTAGAAAATTCTTGTGCTCCTAATGTTGTTATTTACACAGAGATGATTGATGGCCTCTGTAAGGTTGGAAAGACAGATGAAGCCTATAAGCTTATGTTGATGATGGAAGAAAAGGGTTGCTATCCAAATGTTGTGACTTATACAGCCATGATAGATGGTTTTGGGAAATTGGGTAAAATTGACAAATGCCTTCAGCTATTTAGAGAAATGAGTTCAAAAGGTTGTGCACCAAATTTTGTCACGTATCGGGTTTTAATAAACCATTGTTGTGCTTCTGGTCTTCTAGATGAGGCTCACAAACTTTTGGAAGAGATGAAGCAAACATACTGGCCTAGGCATGTAGCAGGCTATCGTAAGGTTGTTGAAGGTTTAAGCAGAGAGTTCATAGCCTCACTTGGGCTTTTAGATGAGATGGACAAAAATGATTCAGTACCAATCACTCCAGTTTATAGAATTCTGATTGATAACTTTATAAAAGTTGGAAGATTGGAATTGGCTTTAGAGCTGCATGAAGAGATGGCATCATATTCATCAATTTCGGCTGTGAACAAAAGTACGTATGTTTCATTAGTTGAGAGTCTCTCCCTCGCAGGTAAGGTTGATAAAGCTTTTGAGTTGTATGTAGACATGACAAGAAAGGGTGGTGTTCCAGAGCTGAGCACGTTTGTTCATCTAATTAAAGGGCTAATTAGAGTTAACAGGTGGGAAGATGCCCTTCAACTGTCTGATGGCATATGCCAAACGGTTGGTATCTCTTAACTTTTTTTTTTCTTCTTGCCGCTCTCTTTTATTTTGAAATGATAAAACAAGCAAACATAAATAATCTTTTCCTAGTGAATGTTCTAAGAGAACAGGTGATGACTTTCTAATTGTAAACACTAGCTTAACAGAAGCCATCAGTAATATAGTGGTTATTGCTTCCTATAAAAAAATATAGTTGTTATTGCTGAAAGTTTTTGTTGTCAGCTATTAAACAATCCAGAGTATACATTACTTTAATGTAGCCACTTGATACTTTTGTCTAACTTATGGTATAAAAATTCTATTTGAGCAGGATATTAATTGGCTTCAAGAAGACGGATCTAGGTCAACCTAGGATTTTCGTACAATAATTGGTTCAGTTTCAACCAATACATTAACTTAATTGTACATGACCACCTCTCAGAGCCTGACTTTATTGGAGCAGAATTTTCAGTACATGCATATGAAAACATGAAGACATATGTAGCAGTTAGATGCTTATATAACTGAGTATGTATTCGTGGTGGCTTTGGTTCACCATGAGAAGCAACTTTGAATCAAAAGAGAGCTATATAATGGATTGCTGAGCTACAACAAAAACTTGTTTGACCATCCAAGGTGACAAAGTCAGTAATAGTATTCCCTGTTTGATTTATATCACCTGGCTTTGCATGAAGCTGCTGCTGCTTACTGCTTATTGCTTGCTGGCTCTGATGCAAGACAGTTTATCTTTAAAGTGATTCACTGCTACTATGCTGTCCATCAACCATAGCAAGGTTCGTATATCTACTATCATTCTGAAGTGACCTGACTAATACACACTAGTTTTTATTTGTTTGAGTTTACTAAATACATCATTATTGTGCTCTCTTTCACATGTATGCAGCACCCAATCTTTCTTGAAGTTGTTGTCCCTTAAATTTTTTTTTTTTTTTCTGGTGTAAATAATAAGAATTTTACTGTTGACACTATTATACACTACATACGTAAAATCCTTGATGTTTAAGGAAAATATGCCTGGTTATTGCTTTTTAATCGTTTCCCCTGATACTTTCTTTTTCATTTCTTATTTGCATTACCATTCCTGCCAAAGGCCTTCATTTTGATTTTCATGATGAGTTCATTTCCTTCTTTGGTTGGTTACCGGAGCTCTTTTCCAGTTGCAGTCTCTTTGTTGATCACTTGATTATCGCCAGGTCAGGTCAGTGTAGCTATCTCTTGTATATGCAGCTTTCACAGTTGTGAAAATTTATTCAAACTGATGCATATACACATGGTAGTGTCCTCCCCTGATAATTATTTTAAAAAACACAAATTAATGATAAATAATTTCTTATAAAAAAATGTCAATACCTGAGGGTCATGGTTTTGAATTTTTCTTTGCTTTTTTTGTTTTTTTTTTCCTGTTTATCTGCTAGTAATATGTGATTTAGTTTTTTAAGTTGTCAACCTGGTGTCTAATTTTTTTTTTTTTTTTTTGGTAGTTTAAACTCTCTCCCCAAGATCAATTGTGTGCTTTTTCTTAAATATTCCATTCCATTTATCAATTTTGATGTGCTTCTTCATGCAGTACTGCTATATAAAGGTCTTTAAGCCGTAATGCTTGGTATTTCTTAGACAAATTTACTCTTACTATTTTCGGCAGTGCTTATCAATTGTAATGTGCTTCTTCATCTATAATTTTTAGCATTCGTTATAGTTCTCTTATATCTGTTGTATTATTGACATTTTTTTAAATCAGAATTGGTAGGCGCAGATATTATTAATTGAAGCAACACTGCACTATGCGTTATTATGAGATATCTCGCTAAGTTCTTGCAAGTCCTAATAGATGGGGTCCTTTTCTCACCGTTGATCATGCTTTATTTTTCAGTGCGGTAATATTTGCTCTCCAAGCTTTCCAAAGCAGCTCATCTTCAAGCTTCGATGCTGCAAAATATGAGAAAGCTCTGCAATTGCTTACAACATGCCATTTAAAGTGAGTTCTTTATCCCTTTATTCACTTCAAGCAAAGCTTAACCACAAATCAATTGGACTTGAAACAAATATTGGTTAACTTTCTTTGTTTTAATTATCTTAAGTTCTTTTTTATTTGGGAAAAATAAAAAATAAAAAGGGCTGTCCTCCTGCATTCTGCCATTTCATACTGGAGTTTAGAGTTAAGAAGTGCTAACACGTTTGTACAAGTCACGGACGGAGTTATATGCACTCAAAGAGATACTCCTCATTCCCATTTTCATATTTTCTTGAAATTTAGCCGCACTTTAAGTAAACTAGTGACAGATACATTTATAATTTTGCATTATGTGTGTGGAAGTAGATTGGGGTAAATCATATTGAAAAATCAGTCAACTTTCTGAAATTATGTTAAAAGTTTGAGAGCATGCATTTCCAAATCTAACATTTGAATCTGCCTATTTAAGCTTATAATCGGTGGGGCTTTCCAATGGTTCACAGGGTCAAATTCATCGGGTAGATTATTGACATTGATGATGAGGATTTCTCGATGAAACTACGAAGGGAAACAATTCTTGAGATTTGGCGAATGTAGAGACCTAAAGTTATGAGTTCAAGTCCAACTTCACTCGATTATACAAAATCTTGAAGGGTCCATTTGTTTAATTATTTTTCCTTATTCTATTAATACTATTTTCAAAATACACGTTTGTTTCTCTATTCTGAAAATACTTTATATTTTATTCAATTATTTTTAAATTCCCTAAGTTTATTAATTTAACTAAACACTCCCCAAAAAAGTTTAGAAATTGACAAAAACACCTCTACTCACCCACATTTGCCAGATTTTGGCCACCACCGTCGGAAGGTGGTCGGAATCTGGTAAATGACGCACTACTGGTTAGATCTTGCCGTTAGTGCATTGATCTATCATTTACCGACCAGATTCATTGTGGATTTGACCAGAAAATGCTAGATCTACGGTCAGATCTTTGGCTGTTGCTGGTCTTCAACGATGGTCATATCTTTGGCCATCGTTGACGACCAAACATGGTTAGATGTGGTTGTAAATCTGGCATTTTTTGGTCAGATTCACAGTGGATCTAACTGGAAAATGTCATCTAGTTGTGTGTCGTAACACCAGATTCCGGCAATGGTGGTTGAAATCTGGCAACTGTGTGTGGTAGCGGTGTTTTTGTTATTTTACAAAAATTTTATATATTGGGGTGTTAAGTTAAATTAGCAAACCTAGGGGGTTTTTTTGTTAATTTTTAAATTCTACCTAGTAATAGTCACCAACTCTATCAACCAATAATATTTAAAAAATACTACTCAAAATAATAAAACAAACACTCCCCAAAGTGTGGCAGAGAGTTTATAGCAAACACTCCCCAAAGTGTGGCAGAGAGTTTATAGCCCTCATATTAGAGAATTGAGGATGGAATAAAGTTAATTGTTTCATTTTCATTTTCAATTGAAGACCTCTTAAGTTCTTCTTCTACTTCTATATACATATTTATAGGCCCCAAAGGGTGGTTTTAAGTTTTATATTTTAGAGTACAATATTTATGAGACAAAATTATTCATCATAACTATGATATCGTCGGAATGAAAAATTGAATCATTATAACCACAATATTTTTCAAAAGAAGAAGTTAAATCAAGAAACACCTTTATGTTCGTAATTTCTCAATTGTTTCTATAGTTGACAATTTATGTTAATTCATGTTATATGAAAATAGAGGACAACAAATTTCATACCTAGAATACGAATCTTTGTGGGATCAAGGATCCTTATCTAGGGTTGTAAACGAGTCGAGTTTTGCCCTAAACGAGCCTGATTTGTTGAACACTTTAGCGACCTCAAGTCAAGTCTCTAGCTTGACAAGCCAAGGAAAATGGACTCAAAACTCAACTCGTTTTTTACACGAGTTGGATTGAACCCGACTCAAGCTCGTGTAAATGAGTTCGAGCCAGCTTGATTAAAATGGCGTAGGGGTGAGTGTATGATGGTAAGAGTGGTCTGGGCATTTTATCAAGCAGTGGTGGGCAAGGTGACAATGGCACATTCCACAACCAACAACTTAAATTGGCAAATCCATTTCACGCCAAAACGGCAACTCCAAAACAAAAATAACAACACTTCCAAACCAATTTCACTCCAAAACAACAAACTTTCACAAACCAATTTTGCTCCAAAACCATTCTCCAATCAAAAAGCAATCTCCCAACCAACAAAACAAGCAAGAATTAAAAAAAAATCAAAATGCTGCGGATCTTACCACTCATGGTTAAAACTGTTAGATTATTGAATCGGATTTTGAAAGTAGATTGGGGCAAAAGTTGTTGTCGTCAGTGAAGGAGACGGCGAGAAGAGGCGACGGTCGACGGAAAAACAACCGGTTGAAGCGGCGGTCGACAAAAATCAAGGTTGTCCAATTAGGGGTTAGGATGTCCAATTAGGTTTTTTCTTTGAAATGGGTTTTGCACGAATGTTGAACATCTTACTTCAATTTTCTATTAATTGGGGGTCAATTATCATTTTTACAAAGTTTTGCATGTCAATTTCATAACACCCCCAATACTTGCAAATATCGCCCTAAAAACCAATCGAGCCAATGAAAGCTCGTGAGGCTAGTCGAGCTAAGTCGGATGTCACTTGAACACAACTCGTTGCTCATTGCGAGCTGGCTTAGCTTGGATATTCTTGAGCCAAGCCCGAGTTTTTATCGAGTAGCTCGGCTTGACTAACACCCCTATCCTAACCCTAATCCTGTCAGTTATCTTAAATAAAGGATCTACTGTAGCATTAGATGTACTTATTATTAGGATCAACCTTTTATCATTAAGCAAAAAATTATGGTTGATAATCACAATGCAACTTTATATATATATTTCATCAATGAAAGCAGATAGCCCCACACTTAGTGGTGGTCGAACATGAAGGGTTTTGCAATGTATGTATAATCAAATCGATGAGTTAGGTTATTAAACATCAATAACGGACATAAAAGCTTTGTAATGTACATGTTCGTGTATAGATGAGTTATATCATTAAGCACCGATGTCACATAGATGAATCTCCTCATTCTGTCAAGTTGATGACCCCATAAAGCCAACATTTATCCTTTTCGTAAACCTTTTAGGTCTAATTTTACAAAACCTCCTATCTCATTAGTGAATATTTTCATTTTCGAGTTCATTTTTTAAAATAAAAAAAAATATTAAACACCACCATATCATCTTAGTGACAAATTGGTAAATCTCTTATCATTCAGTGAAAAAGTAGAGTGAAAGAAGGTTTTAGAATTTCTTCTTGAAGTTGGGAGAACAAAGGATATTTCTGTCAGCTTCAATATTAGGCCACATTTCCAAAAACCAAACATTTATAATAAACGCAATCCTACGGCTTATATTATATTCATAAACTCTGTTACAAATTTCCGGAATCACCCAACTCTCCCTTCTTCTTTCCTCTGTTTTTGCGATCCAAACCCTAATTTTACTAACAATTCTTCAGAAATCCTGTTTCTTAATCAGAGGTACTTTTTTATTTTTTATTATTTTGAGTCTCGAGCTAGTAGAGAAAACATGTTAAATTAAATAAATTATTTGATAAGGCTTGCAATTAGGGTTTATAATTGTGAATCTTTCAAGTGAGTTAGTTATTCTGTTTGAATTGATTGCTTTCTGATTGAAAATTAGGCTTGTAGTATGTACTTTAATTGTTTGATTAATTTTTAGATGGAACGCTCTCTCTCCTCTTTGACGTTTAAAGGTTCGATTCCTGAAGCCATTGCTGAAGCTAAAAAGCAGAAGAAGCTTTTTGTTGTTTACATTTCAGGTAATTTGACCTTCTTTTCTGTGTTGAATGAAGCGTGACCTATCATTCAGTAAATTTATGTGGCGTAGATATTCATGTGGAAACTGAAAAGTTTTTAAAGTGAATGCATACATAAATAGCTGAATTTGACATCAAAGAGTTAAAGTAAATTTCTTTAAGAGCCTCGATATGTGATTGATGAACTAAACTAGTAGAAATACAGTGTAAATATAGCCAAATGGTAAACAGTTTAATCACCTATAGAAACGATAAAAGGAGATGTGAGCAGAAGAAGAAAAAGTAGATGATGAGAACGGGCATAGCCAGAAACCTCTGTTAGGGTGGGCTAAAACTAAGCTTTTTTTCTCTCTCTCAAATGAAGTAATTATTTAGAACTGAGTAAAGAATATTATAAGCAAACCTGGACGATAGTAGGAAGTTTCATTGAGAAAAGAGAAAATATACACCTACCTAGGGGGCAATGAATGAAGAATGCACCAATACGTGATGAAGTTCCAATAAATGAAGAAGGTTCGCATTGAAACTTTGCTTAAGTTTTGCCAATATGTGATTTCCATAAATTTATATATAATGATATGTTAATCATTTTCTAACCTAAGGGTTATTCTGTAGTAAATTTAATTTTTTGGTGGGCTTACGCAGGCTTTAGACCAAGCTAGCCCTCTCAACAATACGCTTCTTATGAAGAGGAAGAAATTGAGTAGATAATGACCGGAAAGGAAATGAACAGAGAAATAATGAAGTAAATGAGAAAGTCAGGTGTTCTAGAATATAGAAGGGTAGACGATAAGAGAAACAGCAACCTTTTGTTAAGTGTGTTTTAGTCATGTTTGCTAAACCTAGAAGATGGAAAAAATCTTGGCTATAAAAACCAAACACATTAAGAAATCTCAAATCCTATGAATGACTCCTAGTTTGTGGTGGCTGTTCCCTGCCAAGTTGTTTAAGTGATGTAGTGGGCACATTCTGCATCCTAGGTAAAATAAAAACACATGAACATATAAATCCCCAGAGAATAAAATAGATCATTTGCCAGACGTTAATTAAAATATTAGAGTATCTAAGCTATATCAGTTAGTATTGCAATGTAAAGACAATTGAATTCTTCTTCTATTTTAAAAAAAAAAAAAAAAAAAAAAAAAAAAAAAAAAAAAAAAAAGAAAAAGCTGCTTTAGTTTTTCATTTTTTCTATTTTCCATGTTTTGATTACAGGTGAGATGTCAATTCAGTCAACTTGGAAAACACCACATGGACTGACTTAACAGTAGGTTTTGTATTTTTATAATTTGATTTGAATTTCAAACCTCATTATGTTTTGTTCTTCTTTTTAGAATACAATATTAATAAATAAATAAATTTATTTATATATTTATTCATTGTCTCATGCTTGTTCGGTGGCAGAGTCACTCTCAAAGTATTGTTTTTACTGCATATCCTCGACAGAGCACTGATGCTACAATTTTTGTGCAATATGTATCCTAGTTTTGAGTGAAAATTTTCTTTTAAAATATTACAGGTTTAAGCTCCTATCATTCTTACTTGGGCACTGAGCTGTGGGAAATAATATCTTAACTTGAAAAGTTTCTGCTAGTCTTTTTTTTTTTTTTTTTTTTTTTTTTTTTTTTTATTTTAAAATAATTCTTATAAGGGTATCTGTTCTGTTAGTTTTAATTGCTTGCATTTACATAATTTCACCTGCAAACTTTAAATTCAGTGCTCCACACTTTCATGTTAACAAGAAAGTCATTTCTCAAAATCTCATTCTGTATCACTTTTAGGAAAAAGCAACCTAGCTACTAGCTAGAGCAAGACAAGGGATATATATGTATTTAAAATGTCTTTGGTGAATCATAAGGCCGAATATTTTCTTATCGCGCATGTTAACGAGAAAGTCTTTCCTTAAAATTTCATTCAGTATGGAAATGGTATTGTATACTCATTTCATGACTGTTGCTTGTAGTTCGTACCAGTAAACAATGAGAAATTTGTCTTTTTCAATGGGAACTCTCAATTAGATGGTAATCAATTTCTATAGCTGGAACATTTTTTTTTCATAGTGAACACCAAGTATATTGGAAATGAGAATAAAAGTTTAGAATGGTGGACCATGTGTCCATTGCAAGAGATTTAGATCTTTACAAAAATTCTTGAAAACCTTGTCTGGTCTATGCCTTTTGAACACGAATAAAGAGCTGGAAAATTTGTTTCTTGTGATTGCATGAGTGAAAGCATGCTATCAGTTGTTTTGTTTAATAATGAAATAAATTTCTGTGTCATTTTTATATCTTGGCAAAATGTCATTTCATTTCTTTGCTGAACAATGAATAGGCATTTATTTCTAGGTCATCATTATGTTTATTCAAATTGATAAGCATCATCTACTTTCCAATCCCACAATCTTCTTGGAAAAATATGAGAAGGAAGAAAAATGTTCTATCTCCAACACATCTCAGTTCAAAAGTAAGTCGGATGGCCCATGGCTAATTTGGTGATTCTGAAATGTGATCGGTAATATTATGAGTATACATGTTTTTTCCCCTGTAATTTGTGAGGAATTTTTAGTTTGTACTTACATCAACTTCTTATAGATCCACAAAACTCTGTTCCTTGTATAACGGCTATCGGATACAATGGTGTACAAGTATGGAAAAGTGGTATGTTTATGTATGCTAAAGTAAACCTTTAGTAGGGGTAGTGAACATCATTATTTATAAACAGGTCTTAACATTTGGGTTATTTTCTTTCCTTGGTACTTTTCCAGAAGGGTTTGTTAGTGCTGAAGTTCTGGCATCCAATTTAGAGAAGGCATGGTTGAGTCTTCATATTCAGGTATGTTTGTCTTGTTTTTGTTATTCCTGTTTTTGGTTTCTCCTGCTTCTTAGTTTCATGCCCCCACTTGAGTGCTCTCGAATGTGTAAGGAGCTATTTGTTTATTTAAATCTTGCACTTTGTCTGGTTCGATAAATTTACGTGGAAATTTAAAGTTTTTATTGTCTACTATTTGTTGTTACAGTTATCTGAGACATTGAATGGGTTTTATCATATTTTTCTAGTACACATGTATTTCTATATGGTTGCATACCAAGCTTCTGAGCCCCAAAAAGGATATCTTGACCTTTCTATGGCACAACGTTTTCATGTTTGTTAAAAATTTTAAAAAGATTAATCTATGATTTATTAAATTTTCATGTAACGCAGATTATAATATTTTTAAGTTCCTTTCATTTGTGGTTAACTGATTCCAGATCAAGTGATTCTTTTTTATAATTGCATTCTTGTCCAAGTTTATCTTTAGGCATATTTAAGTGCTAAAAGGTGGGATGAGTTGTAGACAAGTTGGTATAGTCTTGGGAAAATGGTGTAGTACAATGAGAAGAAAGCGAAAGGAAGAGGAGAGTGAAAGGAGAGGCTTAGAAAATAATTAGAAAGGGGAGAAATATAGAGATATGCGAGAGAATATTTTCATAGAAACTAACTAGAAAGGGGAGAGAAATTGGGAAATTGAGAGAAAAATCTATGAGCAACTCTCTGACCATCAATGGCATTTTTGATAATTTGTTAAGGTCAACATGATTACCAAGGAGGTCTATAAGAATCCTTGTGTGTATTGATATCTTCTTGGGTAATTAGTTTAATTTATATTTTTAAAGGTCTTCTGCACCTTTATCATCTACATGTTGGATGTCTGGCCTCCTGTGTCAGTCTTTTAATTTGGTTTTGTATGAAAACATGGCTGAGGTTTTTACTTTCTTGCTGAAAATTTGCAGGAAACAACTGCAACGGTATTGTCTGCCGCACTTGCTTCAAAAAAATCTGAACCACCCCCTTCAGAGACTTCTGTTATTGGCACATCTGAGCAGGGAGGTTCTTCAGGTACAGCTGTTCCATCCCCTACATTGCAGAAAAATGTCCAATCCTCAGAGGCGACATCATCTGTTGGATCTGAGATGGCGAAGGTACACTTTAGTTTTATTAATTGCCTTGGTATCTTTAAACTGTACGTTGATAAGGTTCTTCAATTTTGATTTTCTTGCATCAACAGGAAAATAATACTGAAAAGGGTGTAAAGACTTCTTTGGAATTTGCAAGTGGCAGCCAGTCAGGGAGTATTGAAGATGAGCTCTCCACCTCTTCCTCTGAAGCAGTAAAGGATTCTCTTGGTACTGTAATGGCAGAGCCAAGCAATTCTAGAACAGAGCATGAGTCTTTCGATGCAGCCCCTGTGCTTGACCCTGTCATCAAAAGGAATATTAATCATCATTCCAGTGGTCCCGAAGTACATTCAAAAGCAATTTCAGCTGAAGCAAAGGTAGCAGTGCAATATGAGAAGGCAGATGACAAAAATGATGAGAAGGTTAAGTCATTGGCTGATTGCGGTAAAGTCAATGAATCAAGTGATGTTCATTTAAATATCCGATTACATAATGGTGTTAGCCTACGAGAGAAATTTGATTTGACAAGCAGTTTAAGGGTGGTGAAAGATTATGTGGATAACCAAGCAAGTAGCCTGGGCCCCTATGATCTTGCTGTTCCATATCCTCGCAAAGTATTTAGTGATGAAGGTATGAAAATATTAAATAGAATTTTGCTTCAGATTAAAATATAATCAGGATATGCTCGCAAAGGAATGTACTGCGTAATGTGCTTTATCTTTTTTGTTATTTTGGGCATTTATTTTTTTGTTCAAAAGCATCAGAACAGCAAGATCTTTTACTTGTGTGCGAATTACTTTATTGTACTTGTGAGAAACTGCATGAGCTACTAAAGGCCTCGGTAGTTGTGTATCACTCAACTCCCTTCTTGCCTGCTTGCAAGTTTAATTAAGTGCCTTTTTGGGTGCTAGTGATCATCTTTGAATTATTTTTTTCTTAAATGGGGGGAAAAAAATGTTGTGCTAGCATAATCTCTGGAGTGAAGCTTATCATTTCAGTACCTCGATGCATTCTCCGTGTTGTTTTATCTGCATAGTCTGAGTTCTTGATCCTTATAAATTCATTCTCTGTTAAATTGGGGATTGCTATTGTTATTAAGAACCCGATAAAATTCATTTTAAAATATTCGCTCTTTACACTCTGCTATTATAGTTTTGTGGGCAAACATTAAATTAGGAATGAGTGTCATTCATTTTTGTCTTCTTAACCTGCTGCAGATTTAAGCAAATCATTATCAGAGTTGAGTTTGTTTAACAGACAAACATTGGTAGTAGTTCCACGTCAGAAAGCTTCATCTTCATCCTTTGAGAAAACCAACTCTTCAACTAATGCTCATCCTTCCAATGAAACGGCTGGGGGCTATTTTGGATATGTTCGAAGAATGTTGTCATATGTGAATCCTTTTTCCTATTTCAGTGGTGGAGCCAACTCATCAAGTTCAGGACAAGATTCTCAGACCGGCATATGGGAATACAGTGAGTTTGTATAAAATTCTTTGATGCCACATTATTTTCTACTAACAATAAAAGATCGTTTAGGACTAAAAACTTTTGTTTCCATTAACATGCTTTGTTTACATTCCAAGTATAGGCTGGTTAGTACCGAATTTTAAGCAAAAGCAAATGAACATAATGAAAAAAATAAATATTAAAATAAGATGACTTATATAAAAGAGACCACAATTTAATCAAAGGAATTTGAATGGAATGTGGATCAAGTAGTGAATTATACTACCCTTGTTGCGGCCTGGGAAAGGTATTTTCCTGTCTCTCGCTCCCCTTCGATTTGTCTGCTGGTACCAGTCTTGGGTTCCAAGCCTTCTGGTGGAAACTATTTCCATTGAAAATTTTCCTGTTTTTAAATTTTTTTGTCTTCTTGTTCATCTAATTGAATGTTTGGTGAAAGTTTGAGAGAGTTACGATCTCTCTTCAAAAGCTTCATTTGGAAACACCATTTCACATGTCTCTCATTAACTCTTGTAGGTCCAAATTCTGCATTTCGAAATAACCTTGCTAGAAGAGAGACAAATGACAGTACTTCATCCAGCAGAAATGACAGTAAGGATGGGCCACGAACCACATCTGCTTTTGGGAGCAATATTCATACATTGAAACGTGATGAAGATGATGACCGTTTCAGTGATAGAAACGCCTTCTGGAATGGAAATTCGACACAGTATGGTGGTGACAACAATGGCAAATAAGGTTCCACTAGACTCAACTGCAAAGATTCTGAGCCCTGAATTATGTAAGAACTTGGCTTCCGTCTTGTTTGTTTTTCCAAACCTCCTAACTTTGGTGTAGAGTCTGATTCGTAAATAAAACTATCGGACATAATAATAACGAAAGGTCCATAATATTTCTGTCTAGATTTTCCGCTATTCAAAAGAGAGTAAAGCCACTAGATATTTGTACAAGTACATATTTTTGGTTGTCAATATTGCCCCTTCCAATTGCTTGATGAATTTAGTTGGAATTGTTGATAATTAGTTTATTACATGATAAGAGTTATTTTTTTGATTAGATTTCATTTTATTTTTTAATTTCAAAACCAGGGAAGTGTAAATTTCATTCTCCCTAGAGATAGCCAAGTTTCAAGTGGTGAATTGATTTTTGGGAAAATTAAAACTATAAAAAAATCCCCCCTTTTTTAAAAAAAAAAAAAAAAATTTGTAGGGATCTTTTTAATATTTAGAATCTTGTTTTTGTATTTTAAGGAGTTACTTGCTAATTTTCAGGGGCTTTATGTAATATAGGAAATTTTGGTAGCTTATGGGCAAATGAAGTTAACAGCATATGAGAATAATGAAGCTTTCCAAATAACAATAGGATTAGAAATTTGGCCAAATTAAATCTCAATTCACTACGTTTAAGTTGTAAACTAGGACAGTTGAGTCCATTTCAATTTTGGAGTAGGAAAGCTTAGGTTGAATGTTCTTTTTACTAGTGATTTTCGTTAGCTTTTCAAATTAGCCTCAATTAATTTATAATTGATTAGAACACAAAATATCACGACATCAAACCTTTTTCGATCAGTAATTTCTTCAGAGTTCAAATCCAACTTATAGTTGAATCTAATTCAGTTGTAAATTAGGATAACATATTCTTTTCCAATTAATATGGATGATTAAAGAATCTAAGTTTCATCCTTCAATTTCTTTCTCAAAATTCACAAGAAAACTACAAGAAGAAAGATGTTAAGCAGAGAGGAAATAAAAGAAAAACTAGTAGATGTTGCAAGCGAAAAGCTGGAAAAAGAGATGGCAAATCTTAATGTTAGAAAAAATTTGCTGGGGGAAGAAACAAATTGTTGATTTAGGGCTAAACCCATCTTCGGAATTACCTAAAAGTTTTGGTTCTTGTGATACAGAAAACTTTATACAAGTCTGATGTAAGTAGTGGTGAGCGTAGGTTCTCGATATCGACGAAACAAATGAACAGTTTTTGACAGATGAACAACAGACGTCGCTAGATACTGGTACAGTTATCCGAGATAAATGCAATATTGATTGATCCATCGCTGCATGAGAGGCCAATATGTTTGAGACAATGGGATATGATGAAGACAAAAAAGGAAAATAATAGGTCAATGTATGTTTTTACTTTTGGTTAAGGGATAGCGGATGAAAATTGGCGATTCTGTTCAGTTATATGCATTTCCAAATCTTTGGTTTGCAATAGTTACCGTCAAAAGAAGCGAAGAAGAAGAGGCTAAAGAAGATGAAGATGAAGATGAAAAAAATACTGCCGCAAGCACTCAAAAGGATGACAACTAAGCCACGAAAGAATTCACGCATGTGTTACGTTTGACACAATTTTTCTTTCCATTATCATCTTGCAATACTTTAGTTGAAATTTTTTATTCTTAGATTATATACCAATATTTTTATAATATATTAATTATTATTATTATTTTGGGTCTCATCAATTTTTACATTGAATATAATTAATAATTATTAAATTTAATGCTTACAAACAAAATTTAAAATATTTAGAGTCATGAGCAATAATTTAGGCCTGGTTGTTGAGAGTCGGTGATTATGCAAAATCTTTAAATTTAATTATAAATATTCAATAATCTTTATCCTTTAATTTTTTGATCCTATTATCAAATTTTACATTTTAACCCTCAAAAACAATTTTTTGAATATAGTTTTATTAATCTCTTTATTTGTTAACATTACACTTTCCCCAAATCAGACAACGTGATTATCATGTTTGTTTGAAGAATTGGGTTTTCAATTCATTGATTAATTCAGTAAGAGTTACAAACTTTATATAGGGAGATACATCTACGAATCTCTAATTATGTCAATTACAATATACAGACATAATTAGGAGATTACATGATATTAAAGACATTGAGTATCTTAAAATTGACAAAATAAGATGATCCTAAAATATTTAGGAATTTGTTGAAATCTCAACACTTCCCTTCAAGTTGGTGTTAGATGTCACACATGACCAACTTGTCTAAAACTTGTGAGAAATACGTTTGGAGACAGTTTTGGTAAGAATATCACAATTGATCTTCTGATCAAATCTTGGGCAATTCAATGATCTTTTCATTTAGCTTTTCTTTGATGAAAAAACATCTACTTCAACATGTTTTGTACGATCATGTTGAACTGGATTGCGAGCAATATCACATGCTGCTTTTGTCACAATATAACCAGATTGGTTAATTAGGTTGATAATCCAATCTTGCAAGAGAAATCATAGCCACAAAGCTTCACAAATCCCAAGTGTTATTCCCCTAAATTTTGCTTCAGCGCTTGAGCATGCCACAACATTCTGTTTTTTGCTTCTCCATGTGACTAGATTACCTCCTACAAAAGTGAAACCACCCAAGTAGATCGCCTGTCATCCACTACTCCGCCAATCAGCATCAGTATATGCATTCACATTTTGGTAATCTATTTTTTTAGTAAATAGGATTCCTTTCCCAGGACATGCTTTAAGTATCTCAAAATGTGTGTGACAGCATTCATATGTTGTTCCACTAACTAACTATACTCAACATGGCAAGATTTGGCCTAGTGTGTGACAAGTACATCAATCTTCCCTCAAGTCTTGATATCTCCCGTTATACTAGTACTTGATCAATCTTGATAATAATTTCAAACCTTCTTCAATTGGTGTATCTGCTGGTTGACATACTAACAACCAGTTTCCTGCAAAACATCTAAGGATACTTTCTTTGTGATAGAAATAACTTCGTTAGATCGAGACACTTCGATTCCAAGAAAATATTTCAAAGAACCTAGATCTTTTATTTCGAATTCTTCTAACAAGTACTTTGGTAGCAGTTCTTTCTTCTGGATCATTTCCAGTGACCACTATATCATCCACATACATAGTGCGGTGATCTTTCCTTTTTGTTTCTTTAGGAACAATTATGATCTGAATTGCTCTGATGGTAGCCAAAAGACTTCATAGCTTTTGTAAACCTCCCAAACCATGCCCTCGGAATTACTCAACCCAAGAGATTTCTTTAACTTACATACCTTAAATACCCTTGGTGGAGGATCCATATAGATCTCTTTGACATTCCCATGCAGGAAAGCATTCTTAAATCGAATTGTTGTAATGGCCAATCAAGTTTTGCGGCTAAAGATAATAAAACATGTACCATGTTGATTTTAGCTACGGGTGCAAATGTCTCTGTATGGTCAATCCCATGGTTGGGTGTACCATTTTGCTACTAGTCTGGCTTCGAATCTCTCAATTGTACCATCAGCTTTATACTTCATGGTGCAAACCATCGACATCACAATTTCTTTCTTGGTGGACGATCACAAGTTCCTAAGTCTCATTCTTCTGTAATGATTTCATCTCTTCTTCATAGCAGCTTTCTATTTTGGATCAGATAAGCTTTCTACACACTGTTAGGAATAGATATAGTAGATAATTGTTCACAAATGACAGATTCATTCTGAAAAACGTGGTTAGACACATAATGACTCAGGGGTATTTGACCTTACTGGATAGCTCAGGTTCTATGTTGGTTTGGGAATTCCTCTAATACTACTGGTGGTAACTGTTTCCTAATTGTTTTAGACTCTAAATCAAGGAAATTTTCAAATGATGGTTGTGACATACCAGGATAAGAGACCCAAACTAAGAAGTTTCTACGGCGAGTTTGATACCACCTCCACATTTTTCATCCTTTATCCTCTTGTCGAATAGGTCTAGTTTGTGACTCATAGTCTCCCATATCTTGAATACATCTTGAATAGCATAGTCGAGAGCTGAATTTCTTCCTAACAACTCCCCCCTGAAGTTCAGACTTAGAAGAAAATACATCATTCTTCATGGAAACAACATCCATTGTCACAGATGTTTTGTTGAGTTGGAGGATGATAATATCGATACCCTTTTGAGGAACATCATCCCAATGAAAACACATTTCAATGTACGAGGGGGCAACTTGTTGCGTTGATGTTTATGGAGGTGAACAAAGGCGATACAGCCAAAAACATGAGGCGGTAAGTTCAGGCGTTGGAACATTCACTGCTTTACAAGAGCCTAAAAAGGGTCTAGAACCACTAGAACTGAGAGTACCCGATTAATTGGTAGGCTGCAGAAGTAGTGCTTCTCCTAAAAAAGATAACGACATGTGAGCTTCTATTAATGAGGCACGAATGACCTCCAATAAGTGCCGATTTTTTCACTCAGAACACCATTTTGTTAGGTGTGTTGGGACAAGTAGTCTGATTAATGATACCATGTGTTGCCAAGTACTATTGAGATCCAACTTTGATATTCTCCTCCATTGTCCCTCTGGAGGACTTGAACCTGTGCATTATACTGTTATGACCTTTGTGAAATCTCTGAAAGAGCAAATTAACTGCTCCCTTGGATTCATTAGACATACCCAGTCTCCTGGTACAATCATCAATAAAAGTAACAAACCAATAGGACCCACCTAAAGAAGTAACTTGTGTGCCCAGACATCTAAATGTATAACATAGAGGACTTCGACTTTGTTTAATGTAGTGGTTGAGACTCGATGACTTTTTGATAGTTCACAAATGTCCACAAGATTACTAATATCTTTTTTTCAAACAACTTGGAAAAAGTTTCTTTAGATAGCCAACGAACATGTCCGAGACACCGATGCCATAACCAATGTCGGATTTTTGTTTATCCATTTAGGTAATCTACTATCAAAGCCTGTTTGAACAAGGAAGATCTTTTTTACTCTAAATCCAAGTAATACAATTGTCCGCTCTATACCACAAAAAATAGTCTGTTTTGTTTAATGCTTTAAACTCACAATATTCAGGCCAAAAATCACCAGGCAGATAAAGCTTGGTTATTTTGGAGATTGATAATAAGTTATAATTCATGATGGGACACTAAGACAAATCTAGTGTAAAGTTTTTAAGGGTTAATGATCCTTCCCCAATGACCGGTTGATTCACCATTAGTAGTGAAACAAAATTTTGTGAGGATGACTTAAGGTT